GGTTTTCTTGCCACTGCTGTAGTCTCTCTTCTTATTTACTTTCTTTCTCCTCCAACCATTGCTGTAGTCTCCTTTCTTCTTTATTTTCTTTCTCCTCCAACAACTGCTGTAATCTCTCTTCTTGTTTCTGTTCTTTTTCCTCCAACAACTGTAATATATCTTCTTGTTCATGTTGCTGTTCGAGCTGCCACTGTTGCAGGTTTTCTTGCCACTGCTGTTGTCTCTCTTCTTGTTTCTTTTGTCGTTCATCTTGTTTGTTTTGCTGTTCTTGTATTTCTGCCATGAAATCTGCTAAGTTGTGGTTTGATTTGCCACTTCTCGTTTCCATTCTTTTTTTTCTTTCCGTCCCACTCTCTGACACCAATTTGTTACATATCTGCTTGTTTGTTTGTTTCCAGTAGAACTTCCTTTCCAAGGATCTTCAGCGATACAAGTCCTTTCTTGATTAAACTAGTTTATTCTTTCTTGGTACAAACTTTTAGTACACAGTAGTTCCACAATCAGTACGTTTCTCGTCACTTTAAACTTAACAACTTTTATAATACAAGCTATCAATCACAGCGATTCACAACCTCGATACTTCGCTCTCGACGAGTGCAAAACACACACTTTACAGCTCACTAGCTCGAAACTAACAGAATCATAAATTACAGGGATCTCAATGTAACTACTGATCTCTCTTCATTTATCTATCCCCCTGCTGGCTTTCTCTGCCAGGCATATATACTAACAAAGAGGGATCTCGAACTCACTCGGACTTCCTAGATCACTCGAGAAACTCATCACGCACGCCAGCAGCGCCACGTAACTTCCGCTGTCGTAACAGTTATGACCCAACCTATATCACAATGAGAATGATCAGTCAGGAGTAGCGTGCTCCATCTTGGGTAAATGCAAGGTTTCTTGCAAATTAAGAAACTTTGGAAAGAGTCAATCTGGAACTTCATCTAATCAGACTATTCTGATAAATGATTTCAACCTCAATAGTTAATTACAGAAGAGTTAGCAGAAGCTAACTTGGTGTAACTTGTAAGTAAGAATTGTGAGTACACGCATTATGTCTATGCATTTTATTCTACATTTGTGTCCAGTCTCATTATTTTGTTTAACACTGACTCATTTAAGTAAGTTTTAGTATTACTCCATAATCTGCATCTTGTTTGTTTGTTTGTTTGTTTTTTTTTTATTTCGCGCAAAGCTACACAAGGGCTGTCTGCGCTAGCCGTCCTTAATTTAGCAGTGTAAGACTAGAGGGAAGGCAGCTAGTCATCACCACCCACCGCCAACTCTTGGGCTACCATTTTCCCAACGAATAGTGGGATTGACCGTCACGTTATAACGCCCCCACGGCTTAAAGGGCGAGCATGTTCGGTGTGACGGGGATTCGAACCCGCGACCCTCAGATTGCGAGTCGAGTGCCTTAACCACCTGGCCATGCCGGGCCAATATGCAGTTATTTAACAGACCTATCCAACAGCCCTAACGATAATTCACTTCACCTGAATATACCACGTGTAGCTTTGATCACTCATCAGGTAGTGCTAGGTTTTAGTAAATTGGCTGATGTTATATCTCCTGTATTAAGATATAAATGTTAAAGTGATGATGTTATATGAAATGGTAATCTTAATAATTGAAAACGCAGTTATGTATTCAGACGTTTACAGGACAAAAACTTTATCTCTGTTTTTTTTTTTTCACAACATTTTACATTCATCCCAGATAAACGATGTTCATTCATCTTTTAAAGACTTTTTTCTAACACATACAAAGTTTGTTTAGAGGGAAAAATACAGAATATACTGAGGTGGTGAGCTAGTGGACTTCATTTAACATACTTATTTCTGATTATAAATGTATAAGAAGTACAAGGTGAATAAGGATAGTTTTGAAACACAAAATACATCATGGGATACTCACAGCTAGTTAACACTACAGAAAATATTTCAAACTAAAGCTACACAATTCTTACATCAAGGACTAAAAGATTACAAAGTGTGATTAACACTTTGTAAGAACGATTTTAATTTGCGAGCTGTGGTAACATGTTTAGCACAGATATATTTGTTTCACAGCTATTCGACAGTGCAATGATGCCTTGAAGATTTATTAACGGATACTTTTGTTGCAGCCATTTCCAAGTAAAATGCTAATGTGAAATTATGTAATGGCAAAGGATGAAGCACTGTCAAGAAAGGAGCCCTCAATGTTCCTCATGGAAGTGTGAAATCTTGCATAACAAGAGCATTTAGGGCAGCAATTGCTTCTGAAACTGTATCTCAGGCAGATTTCCTGGTACTGTTCTTAATATAACAAACAAC